TATGTTCACACGTCTAACAATCTGGCATATCAGTTAACTAAGGGTCTGTCACGCAATGTGATAGAAAGTACATCAAGAGAGATGGGTTTGAGACCCACTTGAAATTTACTATAGTGATAACCTGTTCTATGTGATCGGAGATCCCGTGAAGTAGGACGGTGAAACAAGGTAGTAGTAAAATGTGATGAAAGATCCTTATTAAGACTTATTTCTAATGCATATCTTTTCTTTCGTAAGGCAGGTTGGTTTTTACCTTAATGTGTTCGAAGCGGCTTGCTAAAGCAAAGATGTTGTCCTACAGAACATCTTTTGAGGAACACACCTATATGAGTCAGACTGCTGATCACAGTCTATGAGATTTGGGTGATCTCTAAATACTCATGAAAGGCACTGAAGTATGACTTATATGCTTTAAATAGAGGGGGATGTCTTTTGCTGGCCAGTATCAGCTAAGGACTTTAGTGACATTCAACTCGTATAAAACTGTCAATTCAAGGCTTAGTCCATTGTTTAGTTGTGACTGAGTGAAACTATTGTTCTAGATGGATGTTCAACTTAACAGTCTCCATCGAAACACTGGTATATAAGAAAATGTGGTTCTAAAACTACTTTTGTTACAAACCCAAGAGTTTGGTGGGAATTGTTGGATATAATATGTGCTTGGCCCATATAATATTTAATAAATCAAATAAAACTCTATGGTGCGTAACATTAAGTGTTGTATGGTTTAATACCATACGGGATTTTGACTGAACGCTGACTCAGCTTATATGGTTGGAAATTATTCATCTAAATTGAGAAGCTGAGAAAAGGATAAAGGCGTGCCACACGCGCGCGCGCCGCCGCCGTCGCCGTCGGCCGGGCCGTGGGCGCGGGCGCGGGCCGGGCCGAGGCCGACCGGGCGGGTGTGGCCAGTCTTTTGCCACCACAGGAGTTACTCCCTTTGATGGTGGAGGCGAACTGATTGCGTCAGTTACCGTCCCTTCCGCTTCCGCTTCCGTCTCCTGGAATTCTCCGCTGCCTCTCTCTCTCTTCCCCGGAGCAGCCATATATTTCTTGTCCTTCGTCAGTCCAGATCCCGTCTTCCGCAACAGTTCCCGAGAGAACCACAGATCAGCAGCCTTCTGGCTTCCCCGTCCCGTACCTCTACGCGCACGGAGGACGCGGGAGAGCAGGTGCCTCCGGAACCCTCGGCCGCCTAAGAATCCTGCACGAGGTGAGCGGCGATTAGGTTTTTGGGGAGCGATCCACAACTGCTCGTCCATCTTCTTTCCGCTGGATCGCTCTTGGATCCGTCTTCTCCCTGAAACGTCAAGGCGTCTTCTTCCTGGTGATCTGTTCGTGGGACTGCACTGAGAACATCTTCTTGCATCGACTGTGGTCCGTGACTTCGAGCAACGCACTATGTCGACTAGTGCGAATGGAGCCTCCGATGCCCTCGGCATGGGACCCTCCGTTGGGTACAGTCTAATATCTCTGATTACTGTATTTTGTGTCTTTACTGTATCGATCTGTATGTCATCTATGCATGATGTAGTGTTCATAAGAAATATACGCATGCACATATATGCCGTCACAAACCTGCTGATGTTATATTTCTGGATTAAACTGATAATGAAAATGCCTAAATTTCTAACAGTTTGCATTGCCGCTTTGTGTTGATCCGCCCCTGCCGGGTACTAGCCCTGGCCGGGCGACGCCGATGGGTTTTATAATGTACAGTAGTGCATATACACCTTGATCTGCGTACGTGACGTGACGGACGCGAGCGAGGCCGTGTGTGCTCATCACGGCGCCCAAAGCAAGTGCCCGGACGTCCGGATATAAACAATTGATCCGGACTCTTTTGCTCTACCCGTCCCATCCCAGCGCTCCTTCCCATTCATATCTAGAGGCTTCCACTCGCCTCACCCCTTTCGGATCTAGAGGCTTTCGCTCTACCCATCCCACCCAACGCTCATCCCCTTCCGGCTCCCTCCTTTATCCTGTGATGCAATAGTAAACCACGGTAATGGTGGTTGCATTTCCTATAACGCTTGCAGACACCGCACATTGCCGGGGGGAGGGGGGAGGAGGGGATGGAAAGAGAGAAATGGATAAGATGTTAATTATTGCTCCCAACATTCAAGAATAAAGGTTTGCAACATATACTAAAACCTCATGTAACATAAAAAAAACATGTTGCAACACTTAAATCAACAGTTGCAACATAAAAAAAACTTGTTGCAACATCTTAAATCAACTGTTGCAACATTTAAAAAAACATGTTGCAACATCTCAAATTGATTGTTGCAACATAAAAAAACATGTTGCAACATTAAAAAAAATATGTTGCAACATCTTAAATCGACTACTGCAACATTCAGAAAAACATGTTGAACCATCTCAAATCGACTGTTGCAACACCGCAAAATCCAATTTTATGCTGAGTGCCACAAAACATGTAACACCAAGATTGACCGTTGTAACACATCACATACTACAACATAACCCACGGTAGAGTGCAGATCCGATTGCGTTTGCCTGTGAATGAGCCCGACCACCATGGAGGAGCTTGTAGCCAGCAAGGCCACACCTTCAGCGTGTAGTTCGTCGTCGAGAGACACCCAACCAAGGAGGATTTCATAGCTGAGAAACACCTCACCATAAAGGTGTCCACTTAGATCCACTTTGCTGCCATGGAGGCAAGGTAGGAAGGCGAGCGGGTGCAGCGGCAAGAGGGAAGAACAAGGACGGGCATGGGCTGGCGGGGCCGTGAGGGAGGAAAGCAGGCAGTGAGGGAGTAAGGCGGTCAGCGGCGTCGAGGAGATGAGCAGCCGCGTCATCGTCAGGGAGATGAGAAACCGCGTGAGAGAGACGAGCAACGGCGTGGGAGAGAAAGGTGAAGACTGTTGGGCGTTAGTAGGTATAGATTCTGATCCAGTTAAAAAAGCGTCCGACACGAAGGAAACAGGCCGGATGCCCGTGTAGGAGCATTTCCATTCAAGAAAAAAACTTTCTCTGTCCTAGAAAAAGTATCATTCTTATTTCGATAGAAGTCAAACATTTTTAATTTTAACTAAACATATATATAAGAAAATATTATTATTTATAATACATAATTAATATTATTTATAAATCGGTAAATATATTTTCATCATAAACTTATTTAAATATATAAATGTTGCTAATATTTTTTATAAACCCTAGGCATGTATCCGCCCCTGACATCGAGTCAGGAGCCCACCATGAGCCACCCTCTACTCTTCAGGCCCACTTTGTTCTAAGTGGGTGGAGATAGGTTTAGAGATACAAGCGGACTAGCCCGTGAAGCTACGTATATATAGACTTAGTTTTATGGATTGCTTGTGACAACCCACATGGGCTAGCCCACTTGCATTTCCTAGATGGGTTTGCACAGGCAGGGGCAGCTGCAGAGAGACTCCACAGCTCTGCATATCACATCATGTTGATCTGATTTACAAGTATATTAGATGGTCATGAGTGTTCTAAAGAAGTTTTGTGCAGAACAATGGCCACGATATGCATGTGCAGCTGCTAGCATGTTCGGTGAGCTTGTGCACGTCAGGTTAGCAAGCTAATTTAATTTGAAGCATTCAGGTGGCACCATTGACAGTAATAAACACCCCTGAAAATTGCAGCGTGAGGGCTTGACGAAGATCAAGGATGCATATCTCAAAAGATACACAGATTGAAGGCAATGGTTGTAGATGTGCTGAAGTATTCTCATGCAAAACATTCTACTTGGATTTAGATACCCTCAAAGTTAATTGCAGTCCGCCGGGTGATAGCAAGTTGTATAGCAGTATTTTCAATACTATGTTTTTGGGCTTCAAAATTTGTATGAAGACCAATCGAGATACTAGAACATATATTGTGTGATTTTAAGAACATTTAAAACCTCTAAAAATACACTTAGAAGGATAGAGCTTATCAGCGGCATGCCGCAACTTTGGCCCTCTGATTTTCTTGATGAACTGCACATTGTTCAGAGAAGCGGTTTTGTAGTGTGATAAAAAATCATGTAAGCCAAACAGGTTGCATTTGTGCAGGTTCGTGTGACGTGCTTCACATTTTGGCCCATGCAGACAAATTAGTCTGTGCATGTAGCAATTGCCAATTGGTCAGAGCTCTCTGAACTCATATTGGCAAGTTCATGGTCCTATATATGATCCTACAACTTGCCTTTGAAACAAAATAGACACCAATGTGTTTCAGTATATATGTTTCATCAATTAGATTTATGTTGTCTTCATAGCTTTCATTCATGGGTCCACAACCGTCGAACACATCAACACAGTTACAGTGTGTATTCCTCATTCTTAGAGGTCTATTGTGCGTGTCTTATCAATTCCTACTGTGTCCTAGATACAATAGAATGGAAGTTCACTGTCTACATGCAACTCGGATGCAGAGGTAACCTTAATCTTCGTTTGTAATTCTACGACATCATAAGTGTATTCACCAAATAACAAATGGGGTGAGGACAAAACTACTCAACAAGCCCTAACAAAAAGCAAAAAGGTGATAAATGGATAACTCATGGATAATACACTTCACAATGACATGAACAAGGTTCCCCTCCATACTCCTTTTTCCCTAAAAAAAGACAGGAGCAAGGTTGAAAATAAGCAACTAACATGATACTTCCAACACAGATGGTAAAACAATTCATCACAAAAGAAAAAAAAAATATAGAAGACAACTCAAGTTGCAGCTTCATGAAAATAATATTCAAAGAACAATAAATTGTTGCTACTACAATTTTATAACCTCTATTATGCTCGAAAACGACATTTAAGGATGTCAAATTCAACAGCAAGAGCTGAATGAAACTATCATTGCCTGAAAAACAACACTAAAGTGTGGAAAAATTAGCTGCAAGAGCTGAACAAAACTATCATTGCCTGTGAACAATTAAGCAAGAAGGATGACAAATTCAATAGAAAGAGATGAAATAAACTATCATCATCACCCCAATCTATATTTACAATAACATATCATAGAAAACCCTCAGCAGAATCAGGCTTCTTGGGACTGTTGCTAGAGTTCCCGTCAATAGTGGACATGGTGACCGGAATAGTGACAGGGCTTCCTGGGACATGGGTCTTTGCAAATTCACCTTCGGGTTGCTTATGCTCTCGCTCACTTTGCTCAGTCATTAGAACACTATCATGAACATTGGCCTTGGATACTTCACTCTCGTGGCAGCTAGGATTCTTCTCAGCTGTCTCAGTGTTTTCTTGCATGTGGGCTACTGCAATTTCACCCTCGTGATTTTTCTGCTCCTCTACATTAGTCATTTGACGTTCACCCGCTTGATGCTCACTCTCCTGACAAGTCATTTCAGGACTATCTAGAATGAAGTTGTTTGTAGAATCATCTTCATGACGCTTGCACTCTTGCTCATCCACTTCAGAGCTTTCAAGCGAATCAACCTTTGTGGTTTCACCGCTCTGATTGGCTCCCTCCCACTCAGCCATCATCCTTTCCTTTGTCTTCGTGCTAACATCGGTTGTAGTGGTTGCAACCTTGTTGTAGGCATCAGTTACCCATGCTGCACCTGTAAGGATATATCTGTTACTCATGATGGCAGAACTAGCAGTAGAGACAGTCTGCTCAGCCGCGGCTAATGCTGTCTTGGTCTTCTCTGCAACCTGGTATTTCTCATCCATTTCCTTCATTTTCTCATTCACCACTAAGGTCCCGGTGCTGAACTTCTGGCTTAAGCCCATTGTCCTGTCAAGGGAAGCGACTTTGGCAGTTGCAGTTGATGTGAGCTGATGCTTTTCATCAAAGGCCTTTGCTTTTTCAACGGCATCCATGCCAAGAACAAACCCTTTGGCTAGCATAGAACCTACAATATCCTCAGCCTTCTGAAGAGCGGATTCCATGCCACCAGTATTTTTTGACTGGTAATGCAGTTAGTGGTATTAGGAGTCTGATCTTGTCGAAAGCAATGCAATTTTGCTAATGGGAGATTTGAATATGACATGGTTCTACCTCTAGATCAGCTAAAACGGATGCTGGTAGCTTGTAATCGGTGGCTGGTGTGATGATGACAGCCATATCTTCTATAGTCGCTCCCTGCATTAAAGCATGGATTTGCGTAATAGAGTTCATAAGTGTAGAAAGGTTACCTTTAATACAAAGGACAAGATATTATGTTAGGTAAAAGACAAGAAAATCAAATATAAGATGGAATATAGTACTTAGAGACCAATAACAAGAACACATCATACACGGCAGTTTCATGGAAGAAACCATTATGCAAACTGTATATTCATATTCAGTTCAGGACTCGAATCTTGAAAAAGAGTAGTATCAGTAGTAATCATTGCTTTCATTCAACAAAATTAGTGGATATAATATTAAATTTGCAGGCACTTATTTCATAGGTAAAGTAAGTGTATGAAGATGATCATCATCATAAATAATTTGTAGCAAAGACAGTGGAAACTAATGCAAAATCCTAGTATACCGTAAGAAGCATAGCCCTCTCTGCTCCTTGATTATCTCTGAACGTGATGTAGGCAAACTGTGACCGCTCATCACAACTGCAAAAGCATTCCAGGTCAAATTATGCATGCGTTTATACTGATGATATCATGGAGATGATATGGCACTAACCTTTGTAATTCTACATGTACTATCTCGCCGGAAAATGAAAAGAACTCACTAATATCTTGCTCTGATGCTTTAAGAGAGACATTGTGGACTTTTACCGTGCCTGTCATGGTTGCCTTAAAAAAAGTTGGACGAAATGAATTAATCGGCAGTTTGATCGACCATGCGCCTAGTAAGTGGGATGAATACGAGGATTTTCTATAGGAATATAAGCTATTTAAACTTAAAAAACGAAAGTAATCGGCCACAAATGTTTCTTTTCAGAAATAGCTAGTAGGCATCCGACTAGTCAACTAAGATCTACAATAATTGAGCCGCTGATGAAATTTGCACGTTTGAGCAGTATAATATAACTGTATGTATAACCTAAAGCCATAGTCCATGACACCAATCGAAGAGAACATAGAAACACAGTTTTAGGAAATCTAAAATGTCTGAATTTACCAATATACATGGTTGAAAAAAATCAACGCATTGGCAAATAAGACAAATGAACAAGATTAATCCCCAAGAGCATCATCGATCAGCTACGCATATCAATCTGCAACCAAGCTAATCCCCAGATGCAACATAATCATGAAACAGCCAAAGAGAATAATACGCTGAATTTTGCTTCGGATGGGAAACACGCGCGCGCGCGCGCACACGCACACACAGAATCGCCAAGAGCAGGAACTCCAAAATCCGCGTTCTCACCTCCACCTCCACCTCCACCTCCACCTCCACGGATGCGATCCCAACGGCGTCGCCCTGTGTCTGGGAACGCGATCCAAATGGGGTGGCAGAAATGGAACCGCCTCGCGCGCATTTTGCTGCCGGTTTCGTAAGGGCTGGTGGTAGGAGAGCAGGGCTGATGCCTAATTCTGGAGAGCGATGACGTGGCTACGTCTGGGAACACATGCTCCTGGTAGGTCAGCCCATTTTCTCGTAAGGCTTGTTTGTTTGCCTGCACCAGGGACTTTGCCTCGTTTAAATTCAGGACGTAAAGTTTTAAGATGTCACATCGGATGTTATACGAGAGTGTCGTATGGGGTGTTCGGATATTAATAAAAAAATAAATTACAGAATTCATCAGTAATCCACGAGACGAATTTATTAAGCCTAATTAATCCATCATTAGCATATGTGTTACTGTAGCACTACTTTGTCAAATCATGGACTACTTAAGCTTAAAAGATTTGTCTCTCAAATTAGTCGTAAACTGTGCAATTAGTTATTTTTTAATTTATATTTAATACTCCATACATGTGTCTAAATATTTAATAGGATATGGAGTAACTTTTAGAGGGAGAAACTAGACAAGGCCTTTGGTGGTTGGTTTAGGCCAGGACTACATGGGGCAGGTAATGTAGGTGCAAGTGCAACCTATTCAATTCAGAGTTTGACCCCTGGTAGCCTGTACAAATTGATAGTTACCTTTACTGAAAACATGGTAGCATCAACCACCCATCTCTTCTTTGCTTGTCTCATTGGCATTCCATCAAACAATTGTCGGCGTGGGCAAGTTCACCTCCGATGGCGTGGGAGCCATGCAGCGCCGCGCACACCCAGCTGTAGCCAGGTTGGCCCCGCCCACGCCGCACTTGGGCAAGGCGCGCCGGCAGCCATGCCCGACACCAAAAACCATGGCCGTGACGGCGCGTTCTGCTCGTTGACGTGCCGCCGCGCCACCTCCACGTCCATGGCGGCGCGCTCCGCAAATGGGTTCGTCTTTGCGGCACGGCCGTGACCGGGCGGCGGAGGCGTATCGTCGTGGCGAACCTCCTGGCGACGCGTCGCACCTCGCCTTTTCGCCACGGCCGTGCTCGGGCGGCGGAGGTGCGGCGGCGGCGCGGCGTCTCGCCCTTCATCTACGCGCCGCTCTCCTCCAGCGCTACAGCCGTTCTCAGGTGGTGGAGGGCGACGCCATCGCTCCCATCATCTTCGCGCTGCGTGGGGACTGGGGAGAAGAAAGAGCAGCGGTGGCTGAGAGCCTATCTAGCACTTGGGCCATGGAGGCAGCCAGGCCCAGAAAAAACGAACTTCAATTTCGTTTCTCTGGGCTCTGAGGTGCTTTCTATCCAAGCTACCAAACAAGGCTACTTGCAGCCCACCGGCCTGGCCCAGCCCCTCGACCAGGCAATCAAACAGGCCCAGTGTCCTCCCTCGCTCGCTCGCTCGCTCGCCATCTTCCTTTCGCTTTGGACCCCCACGGCTTCCAAACCCTCTCATTCCAGTCAGGCGGTGCGACGGGGTGAGGACGGCGGCGGATGGCAAAGGGTGGTGTTGGCAGCGGGATGATCTGGGCGACGGCGGAGGATCTGGCGCGGAACCGTCCGGTGGTTCTGTCTCTGTACCGGGAGATCCTTCGGGCGCTAAACTCGCCGGAGCTGCCGCTGGGGCACGCCGCGCGGCTGGCAAAGAAGGCGGAGTGCCGAGCCATCTTCCTCTTCGGCGCCGAGGAGGGGTCGCTCCACAACATCCGGGACCTCGTCGAGGCTGCGCGCCACACGCTCGGACTCATCAACCGCGGCCGCCTCCCCTAGCGTGAGGACTTATTCGTTCCTCGCGAGCCGAGCTGTTCCCTATCTTCATGGGTATCTCTTATCTCCCAGCTTCCTTTCTATGCCCATTGTAATATATTTAGGTCTGCTGCGTGCCGGTAATGGCTAAATTGGTGTCATCAGTGATCTGTTCTTTTTTTTTTAAATTACACGGTACAACGTAGTCCACGGTACGCACGCACACTCACCCCTATCATAGGCGTCTCGCTGTTGACGGAGATGTCGCTTACCACTGAAAGCATAGTGTCGATAAATCCTGGAATAAATTCAGAAAAATGTGAGCACCTGTGCCAAGTCGAGGACTTGAACCCGGAAGGACAGGTTCCACCACAAGGAACCAACCAACTGATCTATGATCAGTTAAGCTGTTATTCTTACTTGTTTCTCGATGCAGACTGCAGAACAATACTGTAACTAGCTAATTGAAACAAAAAAATTTCAGTATGAATGAACTGACACTTGAATTATTGAAAAGCTGCTGGTGGTCTTCTTAAATTTGAGGTTTGAGATTGGGATGCATGGTTTTTGGAGGTGTTCTTCGAGATTTAGTAAATTGTAGCACTCTCAGGAATTCTACAACCTAGGCTGTGTTTAGTTTAGTGTGAAGTTGGAATTTGGGTACTGTAATAGTGTTCAATTATGGACTAATTAGACTCAAAACGTTCGTCTCGTAATTTCCCATCAAACTGTGTAATTAGTTTTTTTTTCATCTACATTTAATGCTCCATACATGTATCGCAAGATTCGATGTGATGGATACTGTAGCACTTTTTTGGAACTTCTTTTGGAACTAAACACGCGCCTACTGCATTTAGTCTGTAGCACTCAGGAATTATAGCACTATTAATAGCATGCTTTTGTGTAACATCGAAATAACTGGAGCCTCGAATCATTGTAGTTTGCATTGGTGTTTAGTTCTTGCCATTTCTGCAACCAACTGCATTTGACATACCAGAATTCTACAGCACTATCATCGCAAACATAACTGGAATGTATCATAAGTTCAATACTAATTTTGCAGCCATTTCTTGGGATGTTACTATGTTAGACTCTGAGGCCCTAGTCTAGAACATTAGTACTTCGGATAGTTGTGATAGATTAGCTGGACATTAGTACTTCGGATTCAGATATAATGCATGCATCTTTCAGTTTACAAGCTACATATAAATCACACTTTTTCATGTTGTTAGTTGAGAAGCGATACCTTCCATGAAAGGGACCAACATGTGTGATTGTGGCAGCAATTGTAGTGAAGCTGAGCCCATAATAAGAGAGTACAAATACAATTTGCTGAGGTTGACTTTGCCAGGCTTCCTATATGAGTTCATATCAATCTCAGACTTCTTGCTCACTATGGATGTACTGTCATGCTTCCTGCCATTCGACGTGAACAAGTCTGAGGAGAAGATGGGAATGCCTTAGCGTTGTACAGGTGGAGGCCCCAGCAGTACGCTGTGGACACAACCAGGTAGATGAATAACACAAGGCCAGCAAAGATGTTGATGGTGGAGAAGAAGGGGCCAGAAGAGAGGAAGGTCGAGACAGTCGACCAGTCAAGCCTGAAGGCGCCGAGGCCAAGGCCCTTCATGCCAGAGCCCAGCTGCTGTGCCGTCACTGACTTGGAGAAAACCCTGCACACACCCATGAGATGGACGTCAGAAGAGGTAGCCTAGCACTACGAACCAAGGAAAGCTGCAGATGAGCGCCACCACAAAGAACTTGAAATGGGAAATCTGGCGCCACCACAAAGAACTTGCAACATTTTTGTATGCAAAATATACTGTCATGAACACATGCAGTCTGTGCTAAAACAACATCATGCCGTTTGAACCAGATTGATGTCCTGGACCTGGATTCGAGTATCTTGTCCATGCTTCAGGATTTGTTCATCTAACATTCTCTCTGTCGCTTTACTGAGCACTGGCAGGATCATCGGCATTTCGGCAACGCAAGGTGTGCGGCCGGAACAGCCGAACAGCTTGACGCGCCGAATGGAGTTTGGGGGACAGGTTCATTATGGGCATTTTGGCAATGCAAGGTGTGCGGCTGGAACAGCCAAACATATCGGGGCGCTGAATAGAGTTTGGGGAGAGGAACAACGTAATCACGGAATTGGACGCGTTACGCGCATTGGCCACCGGTTTATTAGGAGCTCGTGGGCTGTGGCCTTATATGTTGGGATGACAGCGTGGTAGCCCCAGCTGCCGTCTACTCTTGTTGTTGTAGTCTCCATCACGGCGCGGTGGTCGGCGGCGTCAGGCGGGGCTAACCACCGGCGTTACGGCCGCGCGGAGCACACGACGGGGCTGGCGAAACAGTGGCCTTCAGCGACGAGGAGCAGTCGCTCCACAACATCCGGCTTCCAGGACTTCCTCTACCCTGCGTGCAAGCCACCTCAAGCGAATCTGCTACGAATGATCCCATGAATATATCTCATCTCTTTCATCTTCTTATACTCATCTAATATTCTCTCTGCCGCTTTACTGAGCACTGGCAGGATTATTGGCCCCTGTGTAGTGAATTGAAATTGCAAACCAAATATTTTGAGGTGCGTGGTTTGGAGGGTATTATCATACGATGAGTAAAATCATAGCATTCAGGAACCAGCATGCCTTGCATTGCCCAAATGATCAACCTATTCACACTGTTTTCTGTAACTGAAACGTACTTGAGAATATGACCTTTACTACATAGGAGAAGTTGCATTACACTCCACATATATACCACAAATCTATGGCAATGTAGCTAGAATTGATCATTGCTTAACTTGCAGCTGTACCTTATTAAGACATTAAACTCCAAGTTTAGAATACTGGGCAGACGCCATCACCCAAGTCCACTCCTTTAGCGGTAGGACACTTGGCAAGAGGGCAGAGCTCTCCTGCAGTGCCCCACCAGTCGATACTCTTGTTCTGCATGGTCAGCGAAAAGTACAGCACCACCCCCATGAATGCAACTCCGGCGTCAAGGGCAGCGGAGAGAATGTAGTTGTACCGTGTCCACCACATCTTTCGGTACCGGAACACAAAGAAATTGAATATGATGCCAATAAATAGCCATGAGTTATAGTTCACGGCCGTTGCTGGGGGCATGGCGGCTGCACCAAAAAGCACCGGGAAATTAATCAATGGTATCCACTTCTGGTTTGGGAACATCCTATGCAAAGCGTATACGATAACTGGGCCTGCTAGGCCAATGAGGAAGAACCAGTTGAGGGCGCCGTAGTTCCCATCTGGCCCAAAGATGCGCCTTGGACCGACAAGGCCCCAGATGACTGATGCATCGAAGAACACACGGTCATTAGGACATGTCCACGGGCTATCTGCTGGGAGTGAATCTGAGCAGATGTTGTGGATCGAGCCGAGCAGCCACCATGCTGTCCCAATGTTGACCGTGCCAGCCACAATGGTACCAACAAACTATGTAAATACGGTACATGAAGGTTAGTTCATGTTGTTTCTTTTATACATGTCACCAATTCAATTACAAGAAGAATACTTGGTGATTTTTATTTGTATTACCTGAACAAGGAACATGGACTTGGGAGGGATCTTCATATAGTGGCCAAGCTTGAAGTCTGAGAGGAAGGCAACTGCCTGTTGCATACTCATGTAGCCATAGGTCTTGAAGCATACATTAGCAATGGGATAGCCCGGCTTAATCAGACCCATGGCATACTCAGTGATCACATTTAGACCAGGTGACTGCACAGGGCATTTTGGAATGCATGACAATACCTCAAGCATCTATCCCTTTTGTTTTATTTTCTTAAAAGAACATAGAACATGCAAACGTGTTACTTGCCTGGTTGGTTGTCGCGGTGATGATGCTGATGGGAAGGGTGAAAATGAATGCCATGCCACACGCGAAGATGAGGCCCCACCACGGGAGCTGGACCTCGTGGTTCAGTACAGTGCAAAGGAGGAGGGACACTGCAATTGATAGAGCCATCAGCGAATAAAACCACCACGCTGGGATGTCACTGTACTTCTTCATCAGCTTAGTGTGGATGTCAGGCTTCTCATTCTGTGATGATGTGAAACGTTGGTAGATTTCCCTGCGCATTGGCCATGCCCCATTTCAGAAAAAGGAATCTTTGAATCATGCATTTCAGTTCAGAAGTCACGTAATAAAATATTT